CCATTCCTGGATGAGTACAGCCTGCAGCTGTGCAATGGTCATTGATTGTGGCTGCCTCTGATGAGCACACAGCATGTCCTAGGCAAGTTCAAAAGAAAACATATCAGGATTAAATGCTGATCAAAGACGTTTCCCGATATGTCCCTTTTTGTTGTGTTGTAGTTTTTAACCATACGGTGCAATGACAATACAGTTTATTCTGAATCTGAAGGGACAGCTACTCTGGTTGTGTATGTTCTAAGATCATTGGTTTGAGAATGTATGCAAGTTTATTTACTTTCAATAAAGAGATGATCAGTTCCACCCTTAACTAAAACCAATCAACCAGAAGCGAAAACTACACACAGAATGGTTGTACTGAGAAATCGATTTAAAAGAAACTTGGAAAACATGTTTCTTATTTGATGTCTGGTGTTTATTCCAACCTTTGATTGGCATACACACGCTTGGCTACTAAAAATAATCTGCTTTTATTAACCCTTTAAAGCCCGAACCATGAAATAATTGCCAGGCAATTGTAATTCTGAAAATAAAGTTCTATTTTCAATTCAATTTTATTTGAATTTTATTTTCTTTATATTGCAAGGTAGACCCTACAATAATAAAACAAAGAAACCCCCAACAATCACATGATCCCCTATGAGCAAGCACTTTGGCGACAGTGGGAAGGAAAAACTCCCAGGCTCAGGGAGAGGTGGCCAATTCACATATTTGAGTTTTAATTTATATCATATTTGTTGTTGGGTTTTGTTTTGGCAAAATATTTATTACTAAATTTATTTATTTTTATTTTTTTCAGAGGGGGTAGTCTCAAAAACTCATGTATCAAATATGATACACTAGGTGTGGGGGGTTAAGTTGGTACTTGCTAGTGTGCGTTTCTTGTACAGTAAATGCTTCATACTACAAACACAGCTGCAGACCAAAGAGATTTTGGGCTTTAACTGAAAGAAAAGAAGTCGGCACTACTGTTACTCATTTGTTATTTAACCTAAAACTTAGCTGTTGTCGGTCCGACACATTAAAGTACTCACGTTGATGTGTTCTGTGATCATATCGCCACAGCAGACCTGATGTTCTCCCCGTTTCTGTTGCTTCGCAGGACTAACATGGCTGTGCTGACTTCCCCCTGGGCTGATCTGGCTCTGTTCCTGCAGGGAAGCATCACGATGTCAAACAGTGATGCAGGCAGCTTTTT